GTTTGCCTCAGTTCCTCATCTGTGAAATGAGCTGGAGAAGGAAATGGCCAACCACTCCAGTACCTTTGACAAGAAAACTCAAAAAGGGGTCACAAACAGTTGGATATGACTGAAACAACTAAATAACTAAATGGTAAGAACAACATCCTATCATCAAACACAACTTTCTCCATTATAACCAAAAGGGTAACATGAAAGAGTTGGTCAAATGCAATGCTGAAATGGAAGACGCTGTCTTTACAACAATCAATTCATTTGTTCATTCATTCATTTTTAATGGACTAAGTTGAATTTATACCTGGGATCCAAGAATGGTTCAACATTCAGAGTCTGAAAGCTACCTCAGAACTTAGCACAGTGCCTAGCACATACTATGTACTATCTATGTGCTAGCTGAAAAACTGAATTACTAAAGTAATTAATGTAACTCATCATGTTAAAAACAAAAGCATATTGGGGCAGTTTGATGGTACAGTGGATAGAGCACCAGCCCTGGATTCAGGAGGACCTGAGTTCAAATCAGGCCTCAGACAACACTTATTAGCTGTGTGACCCCGGGCAAGTCATTTAACCCTGTTGCCTAGCAAAAAAAAAAAAAGCATCTCATGTCACATGGTTATGTTAATAGTTACAAAAAAAGCTTTTGGCTAATAACAGTCAATCATGTGAAAAACCTTAGAAAGAAGCTTAAAACTGCACTAAAACTTTTGGGATACTCTGTTCAAGCATAGAAGGCTCTTTTTAATATGATGAAAATATCTATCTAAAATCAAAAGCTATCATTATAGTAAATGAGGGAAAATAGAAGTTTCCCAACAAATATAATTGTAAAACAAGGATGCTCCATTTCCCCCACTATATTTGACACACATCTAGATGTGCTAGCCATAGTAATATGATAAAAGAAAGAAATGATCATCATAAAGATAGGTAAAAAGGAAACAAAATTATCTCTATTTGCTGATGACATCCTGGGGATGTCATCCTAGGGAATCAGCAAACAGACTATATGTGATAACTAATAGCTCTCCTAAAATTTCAGGCTACAAAATAAACTCACAAAAATTATATACATACATACACAAAATTAAGGATGTAATAATAAAAAGGAAAGTTCTGTTCAAAATTATTGCTGTTTCTAAGTGTATAAAATATCTGACAGTCAATCTGTTAAACTACATGCAACTCCTGTAGAGGTACAATGATAATTAAAAAAAAGCTCTTTAGAGATATAAAGAATAACAAATAATTCATAAGATATCCAGTGCTCATGACTTGCCCACGGAATGCAGTAAAAGTGACAACCTCACTGAAATTAATTCACAGATTTAGTGCTGTACCAAGACAGAAGAAAAATAAAATTCATTTGGAGGAAAAAAAGATGTAGAATATCAGGGGAAATAATGGGAAGAAAGGTAGTAAAGAAGAGGGAATAGCACTTCCAGATGTCAAACTATATTATAAATCCATAATAATCAAAAATAGTATTGGGTAAAAATGAAAAAAAAAACCTAGATCAATGAAACGTATTAGACAAGGAGTCACAAGAAATAATCCAATTCCATAACATAGTATTCAACAAAATTGAAAACCTGTTACCTAAGAAAGAGCTCTTTATTTGACAAGAATTATTGGTGAAATTGGATAGTAGTATTGCAGAAATTAAGGTTAGACCAATAGCTTTCATCATATAGTACAATAAATTCAAAATGGATATATGACGAATATTTAAGACAATACCGTAAAGAATTAGAAGAGAGGCAGATCATATAACTTTCACAACTATAGTTGGGGAAGAATTTTTATCTAAATGTAAGAAAGAGGCAATTACACTAAAAAAAAACTTATAAGTTTCATGATATGACATTAATATGATTTTGTGAAACAAAATGGATGGAACTAGTATAAAAAGAGAAGCAGAGTACTGGGAATTTTTTAACATCAAACATTTCTGATATGAGGCTACCACCTTGGATATATAGATAGCTAACAAATATATGAGAGCAATTGCCATTGCTTAATAGATAAGAGTTCAACAGATATGAACAAGCTATCCTCAAAAGAAGAATTGTAAACTATTGACAGGAATATGAAAAAAAATGTTACAAATCACTAAATAGAAACAGCTCTGAGGTTTTACCTAGAAATTCAGCAAAGATGAGAAAAATGGAGATAATATTGGAAGGGTCATAGAAAGTTATGACTACATTATTGATACAGTTGTGAACTGGTTCAACCATTCTGGAAAGCAATTTGGAATTTTGCAGAGAGTAATTAAAATGTCTCTTTGAACCAGAGATTTTATAACTAGAAATATAGCCTAGGAAGTTTAATGATAAGAGGAAAGACCAGATAACATCAATATATTCATAGCAACACTTTTTGTGGTAGCAAAGAACTGCTAATAAAGTAAATGCTCATAGATTAAGGAATGACTAAACAAATTATGGTTACATAAATGTAATAGTATAGTATTGTGCTGTAGGAGAAGATGAATATTAATGAATACAGAAAATCAGGGAAGACATATAAACTCACACAATGTAAAGTAAGCAGAACCAGTTAAGTAATATATGCAGTTACTACAGGAATGTAAGTTGAAGTAAACACAAAACAGAAACAAAAACAAGAATGGCAATGACATAAACTAAACACTGCAAAATTGTGCTCATTAAGGTTGCCCCAAAGAAAGATATTAGAAGATACTTCCCCCAATGTCTGTGCCTAGGTAGGGGACCACAGGTGTGGAATGGAATATTGCGTATTAAATGAGAGTTTGTCACTATTTCATTTCGTTTTCCTGGACTCTTTTCTTCTTTCTTTAAAAATTCTTGTAAATGATGACTCTCTGGGAGAGGATTAAAGGAGGGATCCAGTGGGAAATTTTGGTGATATGAAAAATAAATACAATTTAAATGAAGTACTAAAGCAGATGAAAAGCTTCTGCAAAGCATTAATGAGCTTGCTAACTTTTCAAAGGGGGCACAGATCACTATGAGATGAAGACACATGATGTGCTGCTTCTCTTTTTATGCTAGTTACATCCATTTTCGTTTACACAAAATATTATTAATTTCATATGGCAGAATAAGAAAGTTTTGAGTACTCTTCACAGATTCCATGACCTTGAATGAAGAATTTTTTTTCAGACATTTAGTAATTAAAATTTCAGTGAAAGTAAGATAAAATGAGAACTATTTCTACATAAGACTATAGGGTATATAAGGTAACAGCAGAGACCTTAGGGAGGAACTCATACCCCTTAACCATATCCCATTGCACCCTCCTGAGTGACTGAAAGCAGAAGTCTTAAAAAAAACTATTTCTGCAATGGCTTTTATTATTCTCTTTTCAGCAATGTTGAACTCCCCACTCCCAATATTTTAAAGGAAGAGAATGAAGCATTCCATTCACCAAATTGACAACGAACAGGAAAGAGGATCCAAAAAGAAAAAGAAAGAGAAGAAGAGAAATTATCAAGGACCAAAAGGGACTAAGGGCTAATACTTTTAAGGAGATACAAGAATCATGAGAAGGGATGGAGAAACAATTAAATGAATACTTCGTGGATTAAGGACCCACCTTACTATGCAAATTAATAAATGAGAGTGAGATTGCCCAGGCAGAAAGAATAGGGGCAAGTGATGAAAGTCATTCCTGAATTGGACCTTTTAAAAAGGGAGGAGGAAGTGCATCCTTCCTTCTTTGGAATACCTTGGAGAATGTGGAGAAAAATGCAAATTACTGGAGTGAAAAAACCTGGAGTGGAGACCAGGAAGCGTGTCTCCTTCTAGTTGAGGGGTAAATTAGTACACACTCACATGAAGAATAGGAATAATCAATGCCTCATAATGGGTTTCATTCAAAGAAACTAATTAATTCAGGGATTCTTCTTTAACAAAGGCTACATTTCCTGGGAAAACATAACATCTAATCAGAATGGTTTTATGAGCTCCCGGGCAGCCAGCATTCAGGGCAGTCAGGGAGACAGAAGACCAAAGGCAAAATATATTGTTCTTAGATTAGGTAAGCAGAGAATGTAAGGGCATGGAGTAAAAAATAAGTCTAGTAAGCTAGGAAGCAGAGTTTCTAATACCATAGTGATCTTTTCACTTCATTAATTAACATCATAGGGAATGAGGTGTCATTGTTATTGTCCTCGAAGAAGACCAAAGACATCAGCAGGGTGATGTCTTGACTTACAAGTGAATTGGATTTTAGTGAGGCCAAGCTGTGCAAAGTCATTGATTGGCTTCATTCTCTCCTCCAGAGTCATCAGAGTCCAGTGGCAAGACATAGGTCCAGAAAACTGATGGTGATGAGCCAGAGGGAGTGAGGTTTAGCAGAAGAAAGTCCTTAAAAAAATAAAACCATCAAGGAAAACATGGGAAAGTGAAAAATGAGAATGATCTGCATTTGGGCTAATAGAATGGGATGGATTACAGAGCAAAAGAGCCATATCTTGCATGTGCCACACAGAAAGAATAAAGTAATTATGTGTAAGTATATGAATAGGAGATTAGATCTCAAGATAGAGTAAATGGGTTAAGAAATAAAGCAGAAACAGAAGAAAGTCAAGACTTGGAGAAAGGAAATGAATATTATTCCAGTTAAGAGGATGGATTGGTGAATTATGAAGGGCAGGGCATGGAAGATTCTCAATTGCACTCACCTGGAGAGGGAATTGTAAAAGAAGAAAAGCAGAATAATAAGGAACTCAGTGCTCAGACAGATCTGAATCTAATCCTGGGATGGCCTGTTCTCCTCAAATGTGGGATGTAGAAAGTATGGTCGGTCTCCTTCTTCCACAGTGAGGCTTGCTATATCTTCCCTCAGGGTTTCACAGTAATAAAATTACAAACATTGCCCCTACACCCCCACCAACACCTTGAGGCACATTCCCTCCCCCACCCAATGCCACCTCTGTCTCTGGAGGGAGTGGGATCAGTTCCTGCATCTCATTGGTTCCACCAAGTTCAAGTCTAAACATTGATGGCTACCTGATGTGTTTTTGTTTCAGCTCCTATTGGGTTGGAACTCAAAGGTCCACCTTGCTACTTGGGGCCTTGATGCTGAGCTGGCTGTGAAATCAGGGATGCCTCTCTCTTGACTTTTGGAAAGTCACAAGGTCAGAGTTTCCAATCTCTTCATCTAAAACAGATAAAAACAAAAAACAAAGATAAAATACTGAGATCCACTTCATGGGGCCATATGTTGACCTCATGAGGGAAAAGGTCTAATGAATCCTTCCCTCTTTACAACATTGTCTGCCAGCAATGAAGGAGTCAAACTAAGAGTGAGCCACTGAGGAAAAATAATGTTCAAGGCTATTGTCCCTAGTATCTTTTTAAGAAACACCTTTATTTTTGGCTATGGAGCCAACCAAAGAAGTTACCATTCACCATGTGGTTAGTAGACCAGAACCAGTCACAAAATGTCTACACATGTTCCAATGATTTCCCACATTCCACATTACATGATTCCTCTGATAACAGGCTCACCAGAATCTCCACTGTGGTGAAAAACAGCAGAAATGCTCTGCACATGTGCCAATCCTCATTACATGAATGACTAGTTCTTGTAGAAAAGTCACTGTGTACAATAAGACCGTCAGGTATATGATAACTCTGTATTTCCTTCACCATAGAAATTACACAAGATTCAAAATACTAGAAGAACAAATTCAAGAAGCATTAATCATTCAATTAGTCCATTTCAGTCATACTTCCCATAGAAAATAAGATAACTTTGTAGGACTATTGGGTGGATATTTTGCATTTACCTAAGATCTACACTGTTTGTGTAGCCCAGAGCAGTTATGGCCAGCTAAAGCATGGATTCCTCCTTCCTTCCTTTCTTCCTTGCTTCCTTTCTCTTTCTCTCTCCTACAGAAGGATCCTGAAAGTGGTCATTCTGTCCTCTTATAAACATACTCTTTCAGTTATCTCCTCCATCTGATCAGCTGGTGGCCAAATTAGGAATTCAGAAACTCCTAATCTATGTTCAGTCAAGGCTAGAAACATCAATTTCTTAGAATTGTTACTTGATAATCTGTGCTCAGATTAAAAAAAAACACAGAAAAAAGAAGCAATAGTCAGAGACTTGAACATGCCACCAGCTTGCCTATTTTCTGTCTCCTTTTTACCCTTAGGCTAAAACCAAGTTGCTATCGCCTAGGGCAGGGAGGAGAGAGGTTCTTCACTTCCTTTTGCTGTAAGTCCAAGAAAGAGAAAGTGTACACAAAGGAAGTGGAGTCCAAAATAGAAATAGCACAGCCATTTCCATAGATGTTCTTATAAATGAAAGAGGGGGAAGATTCCTTGACAATAGTAAATTCCTTCTGATTCTCAGCTTAATGCACTCCTCTTTCCCAGTCACAGCGGGCCAATCAGGGACTTACTGCGCCCTCCCATCAAGACCCATTAAGGGACTGTGTTTCATATTCAGCTCCATGGGAAGTGGAAATTCCACAAATCAGACTTCTTCACTCTTGCTGTAGTAGAAATGGGGGCTAGAATGGTGAGGGTGGGGGAAATAGAGATTGGTAATAATTTATGTATATCAGTAATTAGCAGGATTATTCAACAACTCATCTTTGCCTTTTCTTTCCCCAACCTTCTCATAACATTTCTTTTATATCAAAAGACCTATAATGTTTTCTCTCTCTCTCTCTGTCTCTGTCTCTCTCTGTGTCTCTCTCTCCATCTCTCTCTCTTTCTGTCTGTCTCTGTCTCTCTCTCCATCTCTGTCTTTCTCTCTGTCTCTGTCTCTCTTCCTCTCTCTCTCTAAGATAAAAAACACTAGAAAACCCCCTCAATGTTAAATATAACCATCTTTTCAGAGGCTGTTCTTCCCTCAATTGCCTCTTCACAATTGCGTTTTCAACAAGTACACAATCTAGCTAAGAGGCCTGTGGTGAACACAAACTAAATGTTTTAAAACAGAAAGGTAAGCAGATTTCCCCAGGAAGAATGATTTCAGGTATCTATGAAGGAGCCCTAAGGGTAAAAAGGAGACAGAAAATAACTGCTTTGGGTTCTATAGAGCAGAGGGATTTCAGCAACACACCTTCTGACTCAACCAAACCTTGGGGCCTGGTCTTACCAAGCAGATTTGCAGCCAGAGTCCTGATCTTTTTTTTTTCCTTTTCCTGACAGCTGCCTTGTCTGGGCTTCTGTTCAGGAGGCAGCCTCACTGGCTATTAATGACTTCCTCTTCTCCAACTCCAAGTAATCTTCTCCTAAACTTTCTGGGAATGGGGGTTCACTTCACATCTCTGTGCTAAATTCCCTGAACTGGCTATTAAAGGTAATCTGGAGCCATGGATCATCTTTTATTACTCTATGTTGCTTCCTTTTTGATTTACTAAAGAGATTTATTCACATTTCTTAAGGGGACCACCCACCATGATTGCAATTTTTGTAGCTGTTTAACACCACCCAATATAGCCACTTTTCATTGATTAGGTCTATGAATGATCAATTCACTTGCACAAATAAATTTAAGGAGCTTGGAGAAACACAGAGAAACAGGAGGAAAGCCTGTAGGAGTAGAGACTATGATCAAAGTAAGGTAAGCAAAGTCAATCACATTGATCAAGTGATGAAGTAGAGAAGTTTGGGGTTGGGGGAAGGGTGGGATGGAAGGAAGTCAGTGTAAAGAATTAAATAGAGGAAAGCATAAACCTAACAGTTATAACCTTAAAAGGTGAGTATATTGAACTTCTCCTAAAAGGAGAATGGAGGAATGAATAAAACAATCCAAACACCAACAATTTCCTGCATATCAAAAACAAAACAAAACAAAACAAACCCATAAAGACACTTAAAGAATGATTGTGAGGGACTAGAACAAAATATATTGTTTATCACACTATTCCAAAAAGACAGGAATCATATTCACTATTTTAGGCCAGACAACAATAAAAATTTACACTGTTAAGGAAGATAAATAGAAAATTTATCCTAGACTATGTCCTCTATTATCTTATATTATGCTTAAAGGCAATACAATAAAATAATGTCATTATTAGATTTATGTGAATTGAAAGGCATAGCCTCTAAATGCATAAAAAAATATAAGGCCAGTTCCATAAAGACATAAGGAAAAAACAGTTTTGAAAGTTATAAGTTTAAAAAGTTCCTCTTTGAGATCCTGATAAATCCATCAGGAAGATAAACAAAAAGGAAATTGTGGAGCTGAACAGATACTAGAAAAAAAATAGATCTGAAAGATATATGGAATCTTCTGGATGGAAATATTAAAAAAATGCCCATATATCTCAGGATCAAGGATACCTTTATAAAAACTGATCGTGTGCCAGTGCAAAATATAAAAATAAATGCAAAAGGCAGAAATGTTAAAGATATTCTTTATGGGCCATCCTGCAATAAAACTAGGAATTAATATAGGAAACACAAGCAAAAGATAGAGCTCTAAAGGAAGATGAAGTGATGACATTTTGAAGGAGAGTCATGTGAACAATAAGATGGATGCCTAGACATTTTCTTTGATATTCACAACTTTTCAAAACTCTCCAAAATCAGAATTCTGTACAAAAAGTAAAAGAATTACAACTCTTTCTGTAGGCTAAAGACACAGGACATTAGAAAGACATTAGGAAGTTTGCTCTGCTTACGGTGGTAGCACATTTGTTGAACTGTAGCTATGCTCAGCCACAGAACCAAAGTACACAAAAATTAGGAACAGTATACTAGCATGTGTGTGGAGCTCCACCAGGCCTGCAGGAAAGGGGACTAGCATCCAACTGGAACCAGTTCAGTCCCTCCAGAAGTCATTTAGGTCAGGGACTGAGGATGGTGAAAAGTGAATTCCCTAATGTAAGAAGAGGTTGAGATCATTTTGAGGTCCAGTTTTCAGGGGATCTTCTATCAAAGAAGGAATAAGAAAATTACTGATAGGGGAATATGATGAAAAAAAGGCTGAAATTAACAAAGATCTCAGGAGAGAGAAAACTCAATTTAAAATCTTGAGCACAAGCAGATAGGGAAGATGAATAATAGAAGTGACCACCTTTAGGACATTGGACTAAGCCCAAACATCTTGGATAAATATTTCAAGTCAAAGGAAAATGAATCAACACTTGAGCCTCTTCCAAGACAGCATAGAACCACAGCAGCATGTTCTCAAATAATTGAAGGGAGAAACAAGAATCATGAAAACAGAAATTTTTATCATGCAGCAGAAATTATAGAATTTAAAACAAACAAACAAACAAACAAAAAGCAAAAATCTGTGGTGGCAGGTCTCTCCAAAGAACCCAAAAGTAAAACAATTGATTGGGAATATAAATACCAGAAGTGAAGGACAATCTAGAAAAAGAGAAGCAAAAAAACTAAAAACAACAAAAAAAATAAAGAACACTTTATATGTATATATACAAGCAAAACATATTGATCTTGAAGACATGATTCATAGAGATAAATTAAGGATCATAATCTTTCAGAAAAACATGCTAAGTCAAGAACCAGAACATGACAATGCAAAAAATAATATAAGAAAATTTCCCAGAACTTCTAGCCACAGAAAACAAAGTGCTAATTCAAAGAATACATAGAGCACTCTAGGAAAAACAAAACACAACCTATACTACAAGCCTCCAGACCCATTAAACTTAACATTTCCAAAGACAAACAACAAATTCTGCAATCCACCAGGAAAAAGATCTTCAAATACAAAGGAAATTTTAATGATACAAGACCATTTTATACTTACTAGAAAATGCAGAAATAAAGTATTCCAAAGAGCAAAAGAGCTCAAGATAGAATCCAAGGTGACATACTCTACAAACATAAGCTTAATCCTCAATGAATATAGTGGATCGTCAATAAAAGAGAGGTTTTTTTAAAAAATAATTCCTACAAAACTAGACACAGCTGATAGCAACCAAGGAAGGCATAAGTAATGAAATAAATTATCCTAAAAAAATAAAGAAAAACAAATTGAAATATAAAGATGTCTGTGGAATTAAAAACAACAACAAATAATAATAACAAAGGGGTCGGTCGTTAAGATATCTCTTTCTAAAAGTACAGAAGGAGACAAAAGCAAAAGTAGAACTGAAAGAGAAGTGATTGTGGAGGAATAGGTCTGAAACACCATCAACTAAACTTCAAAATGCTTTTCTTATT